AAACCAAAAACCATACAAATAAAAAAGAAAAACTGTATGAATTCAGAATTTGAACAGATAGCAAAGAAAAGTGCAATATTTAAATGTAAAATATAATGTTTATGGCGGACAATTTGACACTTGAAAACACAATGGCACAAAAACTAAGTGTGCATGAGTTAGCAGCTCAAGACGCACCAACTAAAGAAAAAAGCAGTCTTTTGAAGAATCGTCGCAAACTTTGCATTTTCTTTCTGCCGTGACATGTCATTCCAATTCAAAGTAAATAAAAGCACATCGGACAAAGTATTTGGGCCGCAGTCTTTAGCGTTGTTACAGTCACTAGCAATATTCAGGATGTGTGTAAATCTTTCAAAGCCCACCAAACCCACCAAAGGCACCTGGACCTGATGGCATCCCCGGCCGAGCTCTTAAGGTGTGTGCATACCAACTGGCAGATGTCTTCACTGACATTTACAACCTCTCACCGCTCCAGTCCCCACAGGTTTCAAAAAGACCACCATTGTCCCTGTCTCCCAGAAGAATGACAAACGTATCTAAAGACGACAGCATAACCCTAACCATCCACACGTCCCTCTACCTGGACCAGAGGAACGTGAATGTGAGAATGCTGTTCATTGACGACAGTTAGCCGTTCAACACCATCGTGCCCTCTAAGCTTGTCATCAAGCTCGGAGACCTGGGACATTTGACCACCCTCTGTGGAGCTTCCTGACGGGCAGACCCAGGGCTGTGCGGAAAGGCACACCGCAGCCGTGAGACCGTGCGGACTGTATAGCGCACTATGTAGATATAAAGGGTTCATTCTAAGGCAGAAAACACAACAATTCTTATTTTCAGGTGATTATGGACTAAAGAATACATAATCAATAGATACTACACAGTGGCACACGGGATCATGGGAATAAACCAAAGGAAACAAAGGGAATGACTAACTAACTTGCTCTGCCCATCGACTTTCTAGCAGCTGACTTGTGTTTTCTTTATTTTCTTAAGGCAGTGGCTATAAACAGATTATCCACACACATCTGCACATCAGCACAAGTACAGGACATCCGGTTGACACAGATCATCAGGACATTTTAAACTTGTATTTCCTCTCCACATCACTGAACTCCCTCAGGCCACCATACTTCACTCTGTACTATCCTCGTCTACAAGGCCAGGTTTCTGGAGCCAACAAGATGACATATTTTTTGGAACCATAATTCAGAATTCTGTAATTCTTTCTCTGTATAATCAAACAAAATGATCCAGTCATGTAAACAGCATTATTTCTGGTAGACATCAATTCATGCATTGATAAACAGATTATTACTTTTTTTTCCCATTACAGTGTTGCTTGCTAACATGAAACTTCAAACGTAATCAAACATAACAATAAGCAGAACTGTGACTAATACGGAGCCGTTGATGCATGAACAAGGATGCACGGAGAACATGGTATGCAGGCTTAGAGGAAGATAAAACAGCCCTTTGTGACATGTCTGGGGAGCCACACAATCACACATTTTTCCTTTGCATATTGGGACACTTTGTCCTTTCACTTTATCTCTTAGGCTAGCCAGTTTGTGCTCTCCTCTGCATTATTAGACTATGCTACAGCAGGTATGAAGGATTAGAGAAGCAGATCGAAGCGGTCCATGAGTGACGCCAGGCCTCACAACACTTACTGATAATTCGGTCCTTCCTCTTCAACACATTTCACATCTGACTATGAAACGGCCGAAAATGTGTTGGCCATTCATGGAAACAGAGCACCTTATCTCACCGCCACCTCTCCACCGTCATTCCTCCCCCTTTCCATTTCCACCTGCTCTTCCCTCCTTTCTTCTCTCATAGTCGTGATTAACCAAACCATTCTCCTCTCCTCGGTAATGTGTCTCAACAAGCAAGGAGGAAATGAGAGAATATTATCACCGTCCTTTGCTGGCTTTGGCGGCACTTGTCGTTCAAACACACACTTTCATCATCCACTGACAATGCTGGGCCTTTGTGTTTGTGTGTGTGTGTGTGTGTTTGTGTGTGTGTGTGTGTGTGTGTGTGTGTGTGTGTGCAGTAGTGTCACAGATAAGCAACGGATTGTCAGGGCAGCTCATGTGAATGCTGCCATTTGACACTGGAACACAATGAGTCAACCACTGTAATACTGTCTTACACGTAAAGGGACAATGCGTTGATTTGTACTGTTTATTCTAGACTATAGATGTTTTTCACACAGCAGTTAAATAAGCACGGCACCTGAGCCAATCAGAGCGCAGAGCTGCAAATGGAAAAGGGATGAGAACTTAATTTCAATCCACTCAAAGCCACTCAACACCCCCATGCTCTCTGAAGATACATTTCTGATAATTATACTTACACTCCCCCATCTTACCATTGTGATGTTTGATGGCCACTGTCTAAAGACAGAATGTAGTATGAGAACACGTAACAAAATGTATCCTGTCTGTTCTTGGTCATATAATTGTACTACATCATCCTCCTGGCCCTGGCTCTTCATTCTGTTGTCTCCGGGTCTGGCCCATCTTCAAATTCACTTTCGTGCTCACAATCGATTTCTGCATCATCTTCCTCTTCTGACAAATCCTTCTCTTCCACCACAGATGCTGTCTCAATCTCTTGTATTATTCGCTGGGAGGTTCCCTGAGCACACGTTGCTGGACTCCACTGACATTGTGAAAGTGTGAAGATGATCCTGGTGGCTGCTCCACCAATGAGTCAGAAGAGGGAAGATATTAGTGTGCCAAAGGAATTCATCACATTGCTGTGCTGTTTCTTTCCTTCACAAAATACAAAGAATTTTCCCTATATATTATTCTAGAAGTGGTCATTTTAGTAGTTTACCACTGCATGGTTGAAACCCCTAAAAAACATATACTCTTACAGCTTAACAGGCCTTATGCTAGCATCCATTTGGTCGTAAAATTCAGCTTTACTGAATGATTTAGTATTAGTCTTTACTGGGCTATCTTAATAAAAGTCTAAGTTATTATAAAACAAAGTTTTCCCTGTGGTATCTGATAATGCAGATACTTTTGGTTTAACCTGTTCAGGTATCTGTTAACCTAATATAACCACCAAGGGCAGTGCGGACAATATAGTAAGGAAAAGGAAAGCTCCTGTCATGAGCATCCCACTGTCTTATCAGCCACAACAGCAACGCTGGTATTGCTTTTACCTTTTGAGTCTGTGTGTGCATCCTCACGGCAAAATGTGGTCCTGGAGACATTTTCTGTATCAGGAACTACCACAGAGGAGGTTTTGAGAACTTTGTAATGTCCATATTTCTGCCAGTCTGTTTGTCACTGTGATACTGTTACAGCCGAGCCAGATGCAGTCACGGAACTTTACGGGTGTGTAGTTGATATCAAGTTGACAGATGGGTGTGGTCCGAGAGAGGGCGCTGGAAGTAGGGCAGTAGGTAGTGGGTAAAGGGCCGCCCCACTTTATGCCCCTGGTCAGCTCTGGTGTGATCCCATCGCAACATTCTCTTTAGTTCTTTGATGCAGCTGAATTCTCACTAGCTTACCTCGTCAATACCAACCTTCATGCCACTCAATTAGCTTTAAAAAGCTTTCCTTCAGAGGGTTTAGGAGGTCTTATATGTTAATAAACCACTAAAGCCTCTTTGTCCACCTCGCTAACTAAGAAATTCAGTTTCGTCTCATTTGTCTGAGCGAAAGTGATGAATGAGCTCTCTATGGATTTTGCAGCAAAAAACTTTAAGATACTAGAAATGGATACTGTGGTTCTTATCCAATTTGCCAATTCATTGGTTTTAAAATTCACCAGATTGAATGTGCACATTGAATACAATCAATGTTCCCAGTGTTCTCTGTAGTTGTAAGGAAAATTCAATGGGTTTTACGAAATGCCATGCCAGTAGGCAAGAATGAGGAACACAGGGTCAACACTGTAATAGTACTGCTGGGAAACTAGAACTACTTATGGGTGATGGTCCATGCCCCCCAACCCCTGTTCTCTATGTCTGGATTTTGAATGATGGACTGAATTTCTTCCCACAGTCCACAAATACTGAAGTTAAGTCTGTTGAATTATCAAATTTGCCCACAGCCGTGGCCACCAAGTGGGTGTTGTCCCATATTAGATTCAGTGGCTGTCTTTCTCTCTCTGTGGTTCTGCTCAATAAGCCTTTTTCACAGCTGACATTTTGACTTGTCACAGTAGGTAAAGCGCAGGTGTTTCGTGTGTCATCAACGATAGCACTGTTTTATTCAAACTGAGACAAAGAAAGCGCCGCAGAACGGGCTGAACTCATCGTGTCTACTTGGGTGTCATGTTTCCATCGCTGCAGATTGGAGCTGGAGCCGATGAATAGCCGTGACTCCTGCATAGACATTTGTCCCGGGAATTAATGCCGATTGTAACCTTTCCCGCTTAAGACAAAAGACACGTCAGTGGGTAAAAACATGCAACATTAACATAAACAAAGTGATAGTAAAGATGAATTAATACCTATCCAAACCGCCTCCTCTAGAAGGAAATGTAAACTGTAATACTGAATAAATAAATGTAATAATATTATCACTATTGCGTGTCAAATAATATCAGAAGACACAGTGACATACAAGGAAGGGAGGAAGAAGGAAATAAAAAGTAATTTGTGAGGCGAGAAAAGAGACACGGTGAGAGAGAAGGTAGGAGGTTGTGTACTACGCTGAATCATCCATCAGGTCAAGTTTGCTGCATCCCACAATACAAATAATACCATCAACCAAGTAAAAGCCTGTTATTAAGAATACCTTGATCGTAATAAACCGGCCTATTCAGAGAGTAATATTACTATAAAGGGAGTTCCAAAACCTTTATCTAAACTCATCATGTTGACACTGTTTTGGACAACTTTTTAAAAAAGTATTTCAGTATATTTATCTTTGCTCACTCACTTAAAGCGAGCTAATCTTCAAAAACATTTCTTGTTATATTTATTGAAAGTCCCATTCACTTCTTTTGGCTGTTGAGGGTTGCATGGAGCCTGTCCAATCATTTTATTTTGCCCAAATGAAATGATTGGACCTGCTCGCCTTTCTGCCAGATCAGAGTTGAGTCCCTGCCTGACCCTTCCCCATATGAAATAATGTAGAGTTTATGGTAACATATAAAGTCAGGCCATAGTCGTCAGGGAAAACAGAAACATAAAAGCGATAATTACAAATTTCACATCACTGAAGACTCCAGAGATTCTCTTTAAAAACAATATTATTTAATTTTTTATTTTATTGGTATTGTTATATACATGGCATAATTTGTGCTTTTTTATTATCAAGAATAAAACCATAAGAGAACACATCAGAAAATTAAACTTTAAACCAGGATTGAGTTGTTCTTTTTTTCAGCAGGATATACTGAGAGTTCTACAAAACCAGGAGAGAAGAGGAGGAAAACGTCCAAAAAGTAAATAGATAGATAGGTAGATTGATAAATATATAGTTTTTTCCAGTCACTTGCAGATGTTCCACTGAGGGTAGTGTGAACGTTCAGACTGTGATGTGCTTTTACCAACAGCAGCAAAGGCACCTGTGTATCACTTTGTTTAAAAAAAGAAAGAAAGTATGCCTCAGGGCCTTAATCCAGTAGAGTCCACACACATAAAACCAAATCCATCCAGGATTTCTTCCAGGGGGATTTCTGCCACACAAATCTTTTGATTTCCAGCCATCGCAAAGGTTGGGTGCTAGGTTAGCCAGCCCGAGGCCATTCACTCTGATCCCCCCCCCCCATGTGAGACTGATTTAATATATCAAAAATAACCCCCGGAATATTATTTTGGACCTTCTTGACTTTACCTGGTTGAAATGGGGCATAGTGTGAAAGTGAAGGGACACTTATTCTGATATTTGAGTTGAAATGGAAAAAGGACATTAAAGTTGCAAAATGTAATACCGAGTCACCTGCTCCAAAATAATAGGGGGTAGCATTACACCTCTACTATTGGGTCATTACAATCTAGATTTACAGACAGAAGTTGTATTTAAAAAGTCAAGTACTAACTAACGGCGGGGCAAGAATACATAGAATTCAATCAAAACTGCTGAAACTCTGAGAGCTGCTCAAAATAACACTGCATGTCTTATAATCGTCACGTGTGGCAGCAGTCTATAGTTTACATGAGCCATCCGAGTATTTACTGTGCCACTAGACGGGGGCTGGTTGGTCCATGTAACGTTAAATTAGTTTGTTTATTGGCTCGGGTCCAGAGGGGAGGAGACAAGGGAACGACTCAGGTTTTTGTCCTCCCTGCTGACGTGGGACTGCCTCGCAGGGAGAAGAGTGAGCAGTGACTCAGGGGGAACAAGCTTTAGTTGTGGTGGCTCGGATTCGGCCAGCAAAAAAAAACAACAGCACCAGGAGACAGAGAGGGCTGGGTGTACACTGTGTCACGGTAGCGACAGAATGTTTGCTCATCAGGCGGCGAGCCGGGGCAGCAGTCCTCTGTGATCAGAGCCCCGGTACTGGGGTTTGCGCTGTCTGTATTTGAGTCGCAGCACGCTGTACTCCCAGTGAAGCAGCCCACTGGCAGCTGTGAGGACGAGGCGAGGGTGTGAGTCATTTTCTTATTTCTGACAGTTTGAATTTAATCCAAAGAAAAAACTATAAAATGACCAGGGACCATGGATTTGTTGTGGACAAGCCTCGGGGGAGATCTACTTCTTCATTCTCAAGGAACAAGTGGTATTACAAGAAAGTATGGTCTGGGAAAGGCTGACTTACAGTCGATATCTCCAACACAATACATAGACGTCTTTGACATAACGTCAACGACGTCAACACTGTCACCTCTTCCCATTCCGTTGATCGTGTTAGTTCCTACTTTAAATGTTTTAAACAAAAGTTCCAGCTTTGTCTTACACATTGCCTTTTTAACAAGTGAAGAAATAGCAAATAAGGTGTGGAGACAACAAATAACCATGCCATTTGGTGAGTGACGGGTAAGAGAGAAAAAGACAAGACAAAAAGAAAAGACAACATTCAGAAATGTAACAGCTGGAATGAATATAGAGAGGGAAAACCAAGGAGTATCGAGAGGTAAAAATACTGCAGTAAAGACGAGCGGAGGAAGGAACAAAAAGAGAGCAAAGAGCAGAAACGTTTCTCAATGACACAGAACACTGACATGACTGAGAAGGAAGCGGGCTTGACAAGAAGAGCAGAAAGGTCATGCAAAAAGAGTGAGAAAAGTCTGACAGTCAAGTAACACAGGATGAAGATGTATAATGCTCTATAACAAGACCATGATTGGTCTGGCCGTTGCCTGACTGCTGCCTCTGCCTGCCTGTGAGACTAAACTCACTTTCGTCTTCTTATACCATTTGCTTTATGTCTCTGATGAGAAAGCATCACATGCCCACGTAGAAGGACTCCAGAGAGTCTGTGGGAACAGACCCTGAATCTGGTACTAATGGTTACTGAAAAGGTTTCTTATTAACCAGTCCAGTGGAAGAAAGCAGATAAAACAATGTTTTCTGTATTTTTAACCAGACCAGTGGAAGAGAGTGGATCGGCAGAACGTTTTCTTTACCAGTCCAATGCATGTAGGTGCATGGACAGAAACAAATAACTAGAGCACAGATGAGGGATAAAGGAGAGCCGCAGCAAAATATGAAGGAAAAAAGGATTATGAGGATGTTATAGGGAAAACAACAGAATTCAAAGAGATACAAAGTCAAATATTGTATCTAAAAACAAAGAGAACTAGAATAAAATAAAAGTAGATGTGAATAAATATAAAACAAGTGGGGGGAAAGCTGGTAAATTCCAAGGTTGAAGCACAATTATTTGCATTAGTTATCCTATGAAAAGTGGTGTCAGAGAGCATATTCTTTATCAGGCGCAGATTAATGCAGAAGGGTCACACGTCAACGTTTGGGTTGAAAGACTAGAGGGGGAGGAGGGGGAAGGCCTTTCTGGTATAGATTGGTCCATTAGCTAGCCTTAGCTTCCCACTAGACTAAACCATTGTCTGATTTATTTGTTAGTGAACCGCAGGGCTCAACCAAAGTCCACACTGGTGTCTGTTTGCTAACTGAGTCCTTGTCCGTGTCCTTGCTGGCGCGTTTGCAGTCCATCACCATATCTGTTGATCCTAACAAAAGCCGGAACATGTTTTCCAGGACGTTTTGGTCAAAGACTGAACACACAACTCACTTTTATTGTAAGACAGTTTGCTGTTCTCAGGAAACCCCCCACATGTAATCCTTGTGACTTTCAGAAACCATCATGGCAGCAATTCAACAAAGGCAAAGAAAGCCAACGAGGGAGCCCCAGACTGAGACTGTGGATCCATGTCCATGAGTAGCATCATAGCATCATATCCACCAGCTAACCTTGGCTTTTGCTTCCCACCAAGTCATCCTTCCTCCTGACTGGCACTGACAACATGATCAATCCATAATAATTTGGACAGGGAGCTGACAAAAGCTTCTTCTCCAGCTCTAGTCCATGTTGATTCAGTCCTTTTACTGGCATCAGCTTTACTCCAAGCCACAGTCCATGTTACTTTGGTCTCTTAGCAAGCATTAGCTTCCTGCCAAGCTCTAATCCATATAATTCGATTGGTTAACAGACATGAACTTCTCGCCATGCTACAATCCATGTTAATTCAGTTTGTTAGCTGGCATTAGGTTCCCACCAAGCCCTGATCCACGTTGATTCAGTCAGTTGGCTAGCATTAGCTTCATACTCTAATAGTCCGTATGTCCCGAGTGTCTGTTGACCTCCCACTTTCAGCTCCAGAGACAAAAGTTACTGGTGGTTTGGCAGGTAGATCCTTTCTCAGCCGGGGACAGGTAGAGTTTGCCGTTAGCGCAGGCACAAAGCTCATACACAGTCTGTTTGGTGTAGGTGGTACCTGCTGGCGCCCCTTCCAGGGGGTCCACAGCACTGCCGAAGGGAATGCGGCCCAGCCTGATGGTGTTGGCGTCTAGAAAGATCTGTGGACATAAAAGAAAAATTATTTAAAAAAACTTGGTTGGAGAACACAAGAAAGGACAAAGAAATTAAAAAAGAAAGACAATGAAATAATATATGAAACATGAAAATGATACACAGAAGTTGATGTTACTGCTGTAGTATGGAGTTCCCATGGATTGTCTTGGTGCCTAAAATAACACACAAAAACAGAAGGGGGAAAAAATGAAACAGGGATTGTGGATACAGAGGAAGAGAGAGCACGTTGCCGTAGGGGATGACTATACTCTCTGTGGTAGACTGGGGTTGTCATCAAGAAAGATCTACAGAGACAGAGAGGGAATTTCTATTTAGAACGGGACTCTTTTGATGAAGAGGCAGAGTGGGAGTGAACGAGGCAGAGAGCAAGATAGGTGAAGAGAAAGGCAAGGAAATCAGTGGGAGAGGAGTGAGGGGAAGACAAACAGACGCAGGAAGACAGGGCAAAGCATGCAGCAGGAAAAAGTGCATACTACAAAGAAAGTCATCTTTTACACCAGCTAATTTGCTGCAATATCCCATCTATTATTATGTTTAAAAACAAAATCTGCCAAGCGGATGAGATCGCTCAACACATTTGATGTGACATAATAGATTTGACAATCTAGCTTTCTATCGACTGCTATGCCTGCTTATTTATTTACTCTGCAATCTTCAATGTTCAAGGAAGCTCCGCTCTCTTGCTTCCCATCTCTCTCTCTCTCTCTCTCTTTCTCTCTCTCTCTCTCTCTCTCTCTTTCTCTCTCTCGTTCAGATACCCTAAGAGCAAGGAACCGATTAGTATAACTAATGATTTCACATTGGCTGTCGGGGCACATCTCGATCTGTATAAACAACATCCACATATACAGTACACCCCCCCCCCCCCCCCCACACACACAGTACAGTACTGTACATATATTAGCCATTAACCTGGAAACAGATAAGAGGTAACAGACTGAAGTGAACTTAAAGATGGTACCATCCTTAATAGCTCGGAGTCGTTCACTCGGTGAGATATCGAAACTGTCCAGATCTCCTTCAATTCCCATTTGCTTCCCTAACGGGTCTTCAGTGTTCTAAATGTATTAGCGGTGAGACATTAAGTCGATTCATTTGTTGGCTGATTGATTGGAATTAAATGATCAGGAAAAGTCCCAGCCCACACTTATTTTACCCTGCAGATTAAAGGCATGACAATTTTAATAGAATTGAAGATGTGGGATGTTAGCAGGTGCTAATCCTACATTTAGAATTTTGCTGTCTAAATATGCTCCACAGACGGGTAACGTAACCAAATAGAGCATGCAGTATTGAAATCACTTAACCTCTCCTTAGGGAAATGAATCCTATTCAAAGCATCTTTTGTCTTAAAGGCACATCACTTCATTTGATTGTAAGCACAACAGCCCTAGTGGTACAATTACCACTGAGAATAACACCCAGGGTTGACAAATATTGGAACTGTCCTTATATTTGTGATATGTGCTATACTTTTTTCAAGAAATGAATGATTCCTCCCAGACAAAAAGGATGAAAAGATAATCCTTCAGTCCTTAAAGAGATACAAGAATGATTCTAGAGCTGTCCACTGACAACTGGAAATAACACAAAGAAAGCTGCTTACTTGTGCATTATATTCATACCAGTCCTGTTTTGGGGCTTTTGTTTCAGTTCTTAGGTTATGCAGAAAAAAAAGAGGAAGAATAGTGAGCCTCTTTAAATCTACTGTGTGCAGCTATCTCATTAGCCCGCCATGCCCATTAGTTTTAATAAGATATAGTAACAATGACAACAAGACTCTTTAGGAGCTAGTGAAAAACGAATATGTGCACTTATCGCCCCATGTGCTGGTCAAAGGAAAATAACACACTCCTTCTCTAAATGCCAAGGTTTTCCTTTAACAGGTCCCTGGTGCACACCTGTCATCTTCCCTTTGGCTCCCCAGTAAAAGCTGCCAGGGTTCATAACCTAACAGGGGAGAGGACTCAGTCACTGTTGGCAACATAACCCTAATCTCCTTCTAACAGCCTGCTCGCCACAGCAATGGAAACCTAAAATGAACTTGGGCATGGCGACCAGGATGGGAAAATGAAGACAGATAGGTGCATGCTTACTTGAGGAAATGCCAATGAAATTACTTATTCTATAACATTAGAAACATCGCGAAAACAAACTGAGCGGAGGGGAACAGAGAAATGAGGGAGGGAGGGTAGAGAGTACAGTAAAGGTGAAGGAAGAGGAGATGGAGAATAGGGATTGATGGAGAGACAAACAAGGTGGGGGGGGGAGAGGTTGCTTTTTATGAGATTGTTAAGAGGAGAAGGCAATTAGCATGTAGAGATGATAGAGTTACAGGGCGGGATGAAGTGAAGAAGACCTAGATAGAAAGGAGCTGGGGGGTGAGAGGACGTCGTTTGGAGAGAGAGAGAGAGAGAGAGAGAGAGAGAGAGAGAGAGATAAATTGATGGAGGCTAGGCAATAAGGGCAGTAAAGGAGAGGTGGTGGATGGCCGACAGATGGAGAGAGGGAAGGGAAGTAGAGGAGGTGGAAGTCATTTGTTGTAGCTTAAGGTTGGATTAGCGCTGACATTTATCCCAAATGAAAGTGTCAGTAAGTATGAGGTTGGCCTGTTGTTAGCAGCATGCGAGGATATGTTCACGTGAATGTGTGAGGAGAGTGAGTCTGCGTGTAAGGACATGTGTCTCTGTGTGTGCGTGTAATACTGTTTGTGTGTAGGTATGAAGGACACTTGTTGTCGAGTGCATTGTTTTACACATATTCAGCAACATGCCGGCATTTTATCTGCATGTGTGCGTGCGTCCTGTTATTGATGATATAGTAAAAGAAAAGACTTTGTGAAATATCTGTTTTAGAGGATGTAGAGGATGCCTTGTTTTCAACCTGACATAACACGTTTCAGCAGATGGGTTTTAAAAACCACAGAGGTCAAAAAAACACAAAGAAATTAAATGTTTCATTCAAAATGAAACCTAAACATCATCATTTCTGTTGATGATTTTCATTCGACCTGTGTATGTATGTATCTAATTTTGTAAATGTGCATGCACAATATATGCAGCAATGTGTCCATGTACACACAGCTAGACAGCATCATAGTCCCAAGGAGGAGTAGAGGAGTAGCTTAGATGGAGAGAGGAGAATGAATGTGTTCAGGAGGAGACCGAGAGTAGGGAGTCTAGTCTGGGTTAGAGGAAGAAAGGTGAGTGAAGGATAAAGGGGTGTCAGAAATGCACTTGGAAAATAAACCAGGACACATGCTGTTTTTTATGCAACAGTTTTAATTGTGTACTGTAACATAAGTAAAGTCATCTCACGGTTTTATCTTATTTCATTAGTAACAACTACCCACAAAACCCCATCACTTAACTGCATCGTTGTTTTCGTTCCCAAACCATACTAGTATATTAGTAGCACTGTAGTCATGGGTCAGTCGGTGATAAAACAGTTTTCCAGCAAGGTTAAAAAATATTCTGCAATACCAACGTAACCAACGCTCGCTCTTGCATGTCTGTGTGAGCTGAAGCCAAATTGTATTGTATGATGTTAAAGGAATGGACAAAAAAAGCACACGTTATTTGTTGATGCACTGCCTTGAATCTTTTTAAACTGGTGTTACCTTGTCGATCTTATCTGTCTGACTAAAAATATTTTGAAAATGTCCACTCTACAGATCGCCTCAAAATATCATTTATATCATTCCTATCATTCCTTGTGGAACAGTTTCTTTGGCGAGAGTAGCCAAGACTGGATAATGACAATATGTATAAAGGGTGAAGTCATCTAAATGAACTGATATACAATGCTCTTCAAGGACGGTCACGTGATTCCCTAATAAAGAATGCAACTGTGTTGCTAGTGTTGTCAGGCTCCTCCAATCAAAACTTTGCTGACTCGAGGCTTGCAGCAGTTTAACTTATACTGACCTGGAACCAAAGTGGACTAGAAAGTGTCAACTTTAAAGTCTTTGAATGGGAGGGCGGAGGACTAGAGGAGCGGAGGGAGAGAGGTGTGACAGACGTTAGAAGGACAATAACAGTACAATTTCAACAGCACAAACACACAAGTTCGCCGAGCCCCTGCTCACCTTGCCTCCCATTCTCCTTTTCTTTGTCTCTCTTGCTCCCCCTGCACCCCCACATGGAATACACACACACGCACACACTTGCTCCAACAACACAAATAGGTGGGAGGTTGGTTGTGAAGCTATCTGAGTGTATTACACAGACCATTAGGCCTGTAGAATGGACAGCTGTTGGAATGGGAGCTGACAATGGACTAAATGACAGAGGCTGGAGAGAGACTGAGAGTGTAGTGACCCAGATGTAGCGGGGACATAAAGCGCTATCAGTCTGCTCTACTGTACCACACACACACACACACACACACACTCATACAAACATACACACAAGTACAGACACAGACAAATGCATCGACGTAAACATACACACACAAGAACACACAGACAGAGAAGCAGCCGCAGAATAACAAGAACACAAACACGTGCTGTGATAGAGTAACACAAAAAAAGAGAGAAAGAAAAAAACAGATAAAGCTCCCACACACAACGAAAGACTGAGACGGAGTTACATCAGAGTGACGGATAACACACACACACACACACACGCACAAACACATCTATGAAGATCGCCTCGGGCACTGTAACGTATAGGCTAATGAATTTTCCAACATTAATCACACCTTTTGAAAAACATCCACTTCTCCCAGCTATTGGCAGGTATCTGTTCATCTTTTATCTATCTCTTATGAACACAGACACACACACACACACACACACACACACACACACACACACACACACACTTACTGAAGATGCAGACTCTCAAAGAGTGGAGTTGGATGATGAAAACAAGTTTTGGATGTAAACAGAGAAGCTCTAGAGACTGAGAGGAGGGGACAGCTGTGCTGGTGTGCTGTGAGTGCACTCTGTGTGTGTGTGTGTGTGTGTGTTTATCTGTGCGTA